AAAACTATTGTTTCCTCCTTTTTATTCAATTCAAATTAGCTACTTTTCAATCTAACTTGGGGAAGAATCTAATCAACGAATACAAACCACTACAAAAGGGTTGCATTTTTAATTAAGTCCAATTATTCTCCAAGCATATTTAGGTGAATATAATCATGCACCAACACTCCTAAAAATAATTCAGTTTCCTTTTTTCTCTCTCCAAAGTGGAATTGACAACTAAACTGGTTTCTCTGCAATATTGTAGAAATAGAAAATCACAAGTAATTTAAAATCAAGCCTCATGACCCTGCTCAGTTAAGGCAGAAGGAGAATTGCAGAGTTGGAAAAGACCTTAATAGAAGCTCATTTGACCCTTTGCGTTGTGAAGGAAAACCAAATGAACCATCCAGCTTTTTCCTAAAAGCTTCCAGAGATAGAGAATCTTAGAATGTCAGAAAAATTCAGTTTATGTCACCAGGGAGCTACGATAGATTATCTTGCACAAAATACACTCCAATTTACAGTTGCTTAAACAACCCAATAATCTTCTAAATTTCTTGCAAATCTTCTAAATTTCTTGCAAGAACCATACATTGTTTATTTGCTATGTCAAGCACAATATAGCAAAATTGTTTTATTCTATTGGAAAGTAGAAAAATAACCAGCAGATTGGCCAGCCAAACACCTCCTTGAAAAGCAATCCTCTCGATAATACCACTAACTCATTGTCAGAGAGAATCCATACTTCTCTCAAGTTGAGAACAGCTTTGAAAAGAGGTCAAAACGTTTGTCCAAATGGCACTCCAGCCTCTTCCAATGTAGAACTTGGAATCCTAGAGCTGGAAGGGACACCTCAGAGATCTTCTAGTCCAACCCCCCGCACACACACACTCAAGGCAGATCTTATACCCTCCTGATCAAATTGACTATCACTAAGTGTTGTATCTTATGATTCTTGATGAATGTATTTTTTATGTACACTGAGAGCTTATGCACCAAAGACACCATTCCTTGTGTCTCCAATCACACTTGGCTAATAAAGAATTCTATTCCTATGTCACCGAGGGGGGGGGAAAGGGGGTTGCCCAGTATATTTCTGAAAACCTCCAGTACTTTCAATTTCTCTTGAACATTTGCAACTGGAATTGTACCAAAGAGAGAATACACGTGGGGTTGAGAAGATAACAGATAATCAGAATCGGAAGGGACTTTATAGGTCATCTAGTCCAACCCCCTGCCTAAGTGGGAGACCCTACACCATTCCTGACAAATGGCAGTCCACTCTCTTCTTGAAAGTCTCAAGTAATGAAGCAACTTCCGAAAGCAACTTCTGTTCCATGGGTTGATTTTTCTCCCTGTCAGAAAATTCCTCATTTCTAGGACTTGAATCTCTCCTTGTTCAGTTTCCATCCATTATTCCTTGTCTGGCCTACAGGCGCTTTAGAAAATAGCTTGACCCCCTTCCTCCTCTCTGTGGCAGCCCCTCAAATATTGGAAGACTGCTATCATGTCTCCCCGGGTCCTTCTCTTCACTAGACTAGCCAAGCCCAGTTCCTGCAACCATTCTTCATATGTTTTAGCCTCCAGTCCTCTCATCATCCTGGTTGCTCTTCTCTGCACTTTTTCTCGAGTCTCAACATCGTTTTTATAATGTGGTGACCAAAACTGGATGCAGGACTCTAGGTGTGGCCTTACTAAGGCTTTACAGAGTAGCATTAGTACCTCCCTTGATCTTGATTGTATCCCTCTGTTAATACAATTTAGGATTGCATTGGCTTTTTTTGGCTGCAACCTAACTTCAACATTATAACCCAGGAGGGAGAGTGGGGGGGGGGGTTTCCTTTGGGGGTCAGCTCCTTGGATGGAAAGAGAAATTAGAAACAGAACTGTGAAATCGGGGCACAATATCCACCCCCCAATTAATCAAACTACCAAGCCATTTTAAAATCTGGGGTTCAGCTATTTTACAGGTGATGCAGCTTGTAGAACTGGGCAAATAAGCCTAGAGGTTCTGAAGATTTGTGCAGGTGGTCCTTGACTTATAACCATTCATTTAGTGACAACGCCACTGCAAACAAGGGAAGTCCTTGTCCTGGGGCACGAATAGTCTCCTTTATTTATTAACACTGAAAATAGTCACTTATGACTGGTCTTAACGGTTACAACTGTGACAGCATGCCCGCGGTCATGTGATCAAAATACTTGGCAACTGGCATGTACTTAGGATGGTTGTACCGTCCCGGGGTCACCTGACTGCCATTGGTATCCTTCTTAGCCGGCTTCCGAAAAGCAAAGTCAATGGGGGAAATTGGATTCGTTTAACAATGGGATCCACTTAACAACTGCAGTGACTCGCTCAGGTTGTAAAATGAGGTGCACTACCTGCCTCACTTAGGAACAGAAATTTGGGGCTGACTGGTGCTCGAAAGTCGAGATCTAGTGTATCTTTCTCTTTCTCCCTCGCCTTTCACTTCCCTTCTTTCCTCAGCTATTTGCAAAAACTTCCTCAGGCAGCCATTTTGCTTCCTCGAATTTCTTTTCCTTTGGGGTGGTTTTAGTTGCTACTTCTTGTACAATGTTGTGAACCTCCATCCATGGTTCTTCGGGCACTCTCTGTCTATCAGGTCTAATTTCTGAAATTTATTTGTCACCTCTACTGTATATTCATCAGGGATAGGATTTAGTTCGTACCTGAGTGGCCTAGGGCTTTCCCCCACTTGGTTCAGTTTAAGCCTAAATTTTGCCACGAGAAGCTCATGATCCGAGCCACAGTCTGTTCCTGGTCTTGTTTTAATTGGCTGTACGGAGCTTCTCCATCTCTGGCTGCAGAGCACGCCCTGGAGAAGAGCCTAACGCTGGGAAGGATGGAAGGCAAGGGAAGATGAGGGGGACAACCGAGGAGGAGGAGGAGGAGGCAGCCGGCGTGAGCTTCAATGGGCTCCAGAAGATGGTTGAGGACAGGAAGGCCTGGAAGAAGGTTGTCCATGGGGTTGCGATGGGTCGGACACGACTTCGCAACTAACAACAACCTGTACAGAGCAACCTGTCTGTCTCGTGAACAGAATCTAAGAGCTGTTTTACTACACACTTTACTTCCGGGGTTTCACCGAGCAAAGAAAACTGGGCTGGATGAAGTAAAAAAGAAAGAAAAAATAACGCAATAGCAATCCAGCTGTGCTGTCTCGTCTCTTTGCTCCTACGCTGAATCAAAGCCTTGGATATCACCGATGCAAATTTGCCAACGTCTTTCTTTCACTAGGAAGCAGAACCCTGCCAGGAGGAGGAATCTGCGCAGCTGCCACAAAGTACAGATTTAAATCAACCCTACCCAAGCTGGTGGCTTTCCAGATGACTTGCAGTGACAAATCCTCAGCTTGAGACGCATGGACAATGCAGGAAACACACCCATCGCGTCCCTTCTCAAGCACGTTTTCTGCTTCAGATGGGAATAGCTGCGCATTCCTGTTTGACATCAGGTTAAGCACAGAGGTTTTAGTATAATAATAGCACCATTAAGATGCTGGAATCGGACTGGGGAGACCGGGGTTTGGGGGGGGTAAGTCCCACATTTCTGCCAGGGGTTTCTGTCTGGGCGCAACCTTAAATTGACACATACCAGCCCTTCCCTAGACTCTCACTGGATATTCGAAACAGGCATCCTCTCTTGGTGCAACTAATTACCATTAGGGCGGTTGTTTTAAGAACGAAAGGGAGATTTCCAGTTAAAAACTCCCCTGAGCTCAGGAGAAAAGAAGTGCAACAGTGATAGAAATAATAATAATAATAATAACAATAATAATAATAATAATAATAATAATAATAATACGGTAAAGAGGTTTCGGGTCTCCTAGGCCATTGGCTTCTGTGCAGAAGGAACAGAATAAGCAGCACTAAAAAAAATTAATCAACTTTCTAATGTTAAAGAACAACAGGATCCATCAATGACCCACCCATTTTGTATGTGTCTGCCACAAGAAAAATGCTGAATTATCAATAAGTAGGTTGTGTGTTTGTGGGGGTGTGTGGGTAGATAGAGGGGGAGAAGGAGGAAGAGAGAGAGAGATGATAGAGATGATGGGTGGATGGATGGAGATAGAAAGACTGGGTCAGCGAGAGACAGAGAGAGAGAGAGAGAGAGAGAGAGAAGAGAGAAAGATGAGGAAGAAGGGAGAGAGATGTGCGTGTGAGAGAGAGAGAGAGATGAGAAAGTAGGCGAGATAGAAAAGGATATAGTAGGTAGGCAGTAGATAGACGAGAAAGGAGAGGTGTGTGAAGGAGACAGTGATAGATGAGAGCAGGTAGGCTAGTTAAGAGAAAGAGATATGGGTAGGCAGGTAGATAGAGATGAGAGGGAGGAAGGGGGAAGAGAGAGAGAGAGAGAGAAAGAGAGAATATATGTAGCTGCCATAAGCTGAACAACTTCCAGCATCCTTCAGCAATGATCACGCGCTAGCTAACGGCACTGGAAACTGCATAAAATCAATTCAAAGGTCCCAAAGAACAAGCCCACCCATTAATTCTCCTCCACTTCTTGCTGACCCTCCTGGCCCCAAAAACCCCCTGCGTGTTTTACAGTTGTGGGGGGGGGGGAGGAAATTCTGAATTAAAGATGGTTCGAGTCTCGGTGGTCCCTGAATTCATCCCCACTCCCACCTCGAACGACAAAAAGAAAAAGCTTCAATGTCTATAGAGGGAAGGCTTCTGTTACCTGGGTCCCAAATGTGGAAGTAATTTGGACCAACCTGCTACCCCAACAATGCGCTTCTTAAGTACTTTACGCACAAGGACAAGATTGTCTCACCGCTAAATTTAAGGGTTTGCAGCCCTTTCTCGCAGCTACTCCCCCCGGCCCCCCAACCAGGACACCGTCCACCACCCCAAAGGGGCCACTGGGCAGAGATTCCTCCCTCTACTCGGATCCAACCTGGTCCTTGTAAGCTTCCAAGACGGTCATTAGAAAGCTGCCCTCTGCTCTGAGCCACTCACCCAAGTCCAGCTTACCTTGGAAAGGTTCTTACCTGTCTTCCTCGCCATCCAGAGCGGCCAGCGGAAGTCCCTTCAGCGGGAAGAGGGAAGAGACCATGCTCCCATCTGCCAAGGCCGAGGAGGTGCAGAGGCTGCTGCTTTCGGCGCCACCAGGAGGCTGGGTTAAGCCCACCAGGAAGGCCTCCGTCGGGCGCTTGGCGTCTTCAGTTCGGCTCATGATGGACTGAGCGAGGGACTGCGCAGAGAACTGGGAAGAGCTGGGGGCTGCCGGCAAATTCATGCCCGTGGGAAGCAAGGCAGGCTGAGAGGCGGCGTTCTGGACCAGGCTCCCGTTCTGTATACTCGAAGAAGGCGGCTGGGCGAGGGTCTTGGAAGGAGCCAGGCTGACGGGCGCAGGGGGCAGACTGGAAGCCGAGTGGCCGGGCACAGCGCTAACGGAAGGGATTGGGCTAACGGGAGGCAACGGGGCCATTCCTTGAACCAGAGGATCAGCGGCTTGCATGGGCATCAGGTTGCCCGGGGGCGGGATGCCCAAAGTCTGAGGAAGGCCCGACGGAACGCTTTGGGATCCTGGGTGAACGGCCCCCGTAGGGACCGGCGGAGCTCCTTGGGAGGGGGCAGGAACAGCAGCGCTGGGGCCCAGCACGGAAGGAGCCATCTGGTTGGGGACCGAGGGCCGCTGGGCCATGGGAGCGGCACTTCCGGGTTGCCCGACATTCATCAGGGCAGCGGGAGCACCCACGGCTGGGATGGCCGGCTGGGCCTGGGAAGGCACCCCCGGGAGGTGGGCCTGGACAGGAAGCGGCATGCTTGGAGGCTGAGCGACAGGCACGGCCGACCCGCTCCCGACGATCGCCGTGCCCGGCTGCAGAGAAGACGCTGGAAGCATCTGCGGTGGCTGGATGTACTCGGGCAATGAGGCTTGGGCGACGGGCTTCGCGTGCTGCCCTGGAGCCATCGGCCTAGGCATGGGTGGCAGGGCAGCGGGGTGCTGAGCCTGCCCCGGCCCGAAAGATAACGGCTGGGGCTGCGGAGCGACTGGACCTGCAGAGACCGGCGGTGGGGTGAACGGTTGGGAGGCCAGAGTTGGTTGATGGCCACCAACGATGGTCAACGGAGGAGGAACGGCTGAGGCGGGAGGGGGCGCCCCTTGCTTCTGAGGAGGGTAGCTGACCTCTTGAGGATGCGGTGGCTGGACTTGGGAGAGTTGGGACTGAGACATACTCTGGGGCAGCCCCTGTGTGGCCCCGGCACTGGTGAACTCCATCGGCAGAGGGCCGCCTTGGAACCCTTGCGGCTGTGTCCCAGGAGGCGCCCCCATCTCCCCACTGCCCACGCTCTCGGTGTAGTGGCTCAGGGTGCTGCTGACGGAGCTCCCGCTGGTGCTCTCCCTTTCGGAGGCCGCGTCGAGGAGAGCGTCCATGGTTTTCGCCATGGCGGCGTTTTCAGCCACCGCCCCGGGGTTCTCCTTGTCATAGAACTCGGTGCAAGTCCATCGGCCTTTCTTAAAGTGCTCCGAACTGGAATCTAACTTCACCACACGGAAGCGGGAGGTGCTGCCGGCGGGCTGCAGGTGACCTACCGCCGTGCCCCCCGCAGCTGAATGACCCACACTTCCGGAGGCATTCGAGGAGGCCCCGGTGCCATTACCCATCCCGCCGGAGAGCGCCACGTGTCCAGAGTGGCTCCCTCCGGCCAGGGCCATGCCGTTGCCAGCAGCGGCAAGGTTCGTGAGGGTCTTGCCCACCTGACGGGCCCTGCCACTTGCGGCCACGGCTCCCCCGGCGGGAGAGGCAGCTCCAGCGTGGAAGTGAGCCACGGTGGCCCCCGCGAGAGCTGCCCTGGGGGATGCTCCCGGAGGGCCAGGTCTGGCGCTCTCCAAGCCTCCCGCGACGGGCAGCCGTCGGAAGGACGGGCTGGAGGGAGACCCCGCAGAGATGGGCGGGGGGACCCCGGCGTGGGAGGGCGGCTGAGGGTGGCCCCCGTGGGGGAAGTGGGGCCCGTGGGCGCTGCCGTTGGTCAGGCCTCGGGCCTGCTGGGTCGGGGGCCTCGGCTGGTTGGGCGAGACGGCCCCGGGGCTGTCGGCCTCGTGGAAGTTGTTGAGCGTCTCCTCGGAGGAGCTGCGCTCCGGCTCGCCCAAGTCGGTGGCCCGGGAGAGCGAGACGTCCAGGATCTCGGAGGAGGAGAAGTCCTCGGTGTGCGACTCGTCCAAGTCGTCGTAACTCTCCGTGTCTTCGGCGATGCTGTTGTTGGAGCTGAGGCTGGCCGAGATCTGCGCCGGGGTCACGCTGGTGATCTGGAAGCCGCTCTTCTTCTTCAACTGGGCGCCCGCCGGCCCGACGACGCCTCCTCCTCCTCCTCCTCCTCCTCCCGCCTGCGAGAGCAGCGCCAGGCTCTGCGGCGGAGGAGCCCCCGGAGGGCAGGACGAGACGGAGACCGAGACCGAGGAGGAGGAGGCGGCGGCGGCAGCAGGGGCAGCCGGCGTCGTCTGGACCAGCAGGCCGGGCGGGAAGTCCTCCAAGCCGGCGCCGCTGCCGCCCCTGCGAGGCAGCATCGCGGGCTGCGCCATCTTCTTCCTCTCCCGCGCCTCCGCCGCTGAGTCAGGCTGCTGCTGCTGCTGCTGCTGCTGCATTGGGGCCGGCGAGAGGAAGGCCCGACGCCGACGCCTCCCTCAGGCGCCGCCCCGACCGGGCTCGGAGGAGGAGGAGGACGAGGACGAGGACGAGGAGGAGGAGGGGGAGGCGGCCGCCGCCCCCGACCCTTCTTCCCTCAGCGGCGGCGAGAGGAGGCGGCCGGCTTGCCCTGAGGAAGATGAAGATGAAGAAGAAGGGGACGAGGACGAGGAGGAGGAGGAAGGAGGGCGCGCAGGAGCCAACCCGGGCGACGCGGACGCGAGGCAGCCCCCGCCGGCCGCGGCCCCATCCAGAGACGCCGCCGCCGCCGCCGCCTCCAAACTCCTCACGGGGCCACCGAGCGCCCGGAGCAGCCCCGCTTCTCCTCCTCCTCCTCCTCAGGCCGAACGCCGCCGCCGCCGCCGCCCCGTCGGAGCCGCCTTGGCGAGGCCGGAGCTCGGCTCGCTCTCTGAGGGGAGGGGGGCGGGGTGGGGGGGGGGGGGGGGGGGGGGGGGGGAACGGGCGGGGGAGTGGCCGAAGGGCTTCGGCTACTCTGGCGGAAACGGACGAAGCGAAATCGGAGGGGGGCGGTGTCCGCCGCAGATATCGGTGGCCCGTCGGGAACGGCTGGCCGAAGGGCTTCGGCTAAGCTGGCGGAAACGGACGAAGCTAGCCGGGGAGGGGTCGGTGGGGAGGGGGGGGGCGACACGGTTAAAGAGGCCGTCGGGAAAGGGTTTCGGCTACTGTGGAGGAAACGGCCGAAGCTAGCCGGAGGGAGGGTTGATTTCTGGGAGCAGCGTCCTCGCCGCAGACATAAAGAACCTGTCGAGACTGAGGAGAAGGAGGGAGGGAGGCCGAAGGGCTTCGGCTCCCCTGGCGGAAATGGCCGAGGCTGGCCTGGAGAGGAGGGGAGGGGTCTGGCCCGGGATAGCCGGCTGGCCCGCAGCAGGTTGGGCCGGCAACTAGCCTCTTGCAGCAGGAGGCCTTGCAGGGTCCCGAAGACTCATTTCTGGCGGAGTTTGGGGGAAGAGAAAGACAGACTTTGGCGGCTTTCCTTGCATGCAGCCAGAAGCAGAGGAAGAAAGAAGCAGCCCAGTGGATTCATTGCTTTGGGGGGGACATTTCTCTGCAGAGCACCCAAATTTTCTCGCGGACCACCAGTGGTCCCCGGCCCCCTGGTTGGCGACCACTGGTCTAGAAGACCTCCACGGAAGACCTTCCAACCTTGTTGTTCTGGGTGGACCGTTGAGTCTTTCTCTGTGTTCAGTTTTCGGTTTCTTTTCCAACGTGAGTCGGTATCCAACCCTCGCCGATCAAACTCCTCTTTCTTGATCTGCCTTACCAAGTGGTTGAAAGCAGACCTGCCTCTCTTTTTGTACTCCCTAAGGGGCAGGGGAATGTAGAATTGTGACAACCAACATGGACTGTTTTAACACAGGACTCCAGAAGGCTCCTCACGGTGAACACCTGCAAGCCTGCAAACTAATCGGAATTCTTCAGAGCTCTGCATAATGGAGTGCCTTCTGTTCTTCTCTGCTGCAGACACAATTAAACACCCAGACGTGAAATATGATGTCCTTGTGATTCTGGAGACACAATCAACCCTGTCTTCCTTTATTGCCCTTAGCACGGAGATCACCAAAAAGTACCAGAGAATGAATGCCAATCCTCCAGCAATTCCCAGAAGAGTTGATAATTTATAACAAGGGGAGTTGCTACTTATTGCAGCAAAGATGTTCAGAAATTGTTGGAAGTAAGGTGGAAAACATAGGCATCTTTGTAGGGCTGAATTCTGGGCCCTTCCTTGAACCTTCCAAATTCTGTGTATAAGAAATTAATTCTCACCTAAAGTATTAAGCCTATTTTATCTTTTGATCTTTTCAAGTTGTGCCCTAGATTTACAATATAGAGAAGGCAACGTTTATTGGGACTTCTTGCTAGCTGTGAAGATAATGAAGAAGTCAGCAATATATATTTGCTTCAAAGCAACTGGATTGCACTTGAGGTTTGTTTCCATTTTCCTTCAAAAAGCACCCTGAGTATTAAGTTACAAGCTAAAGATTCACAATAATAATAATAAAAAATCAAAGTACAGCAGTAACTCCCAAAATTCAACCTTATCTGCTGAGTTTAGACTTATTTGCGGTAGGTCGTTTTGACTGCAAAACTCTCCACATTCGGGATATTCTGAAGATCTCTGTCCAAATACTTAGTGATCAGAGTTTATTTTTATTTTCTTATCCTTTGTTCTTTCATTTCAGTTATTGCATGCATTGCAACTTTAAAACCAGAGCATAACTGGGAGCAAGGAACATTGCCCGATTAACACACACTAAACTGAGCAGATAAACACTTAACTGCATGTTTTTGTTCCCTGATGAAAATTCTCCATCACAGAAATGAGGACAAAGCAACAATAAAAGATAAAATGAGCCCATTATTTTCAAGCTACAGTACAAAAAAGTAGTTTCCAAAGCCTTTCTCTTGTATATGTTTTTTGCTTTTAATAAATAAATAAGTACTTTTCATAAGTAACGCTTGTTGCTGATGATAGATTTTTAGTATCGCGTGAAAGTGGTGATATTTTGGAAGCTGGTAATTCTAAAAAAGAAGACTAAGGCAATTGTTGGGAGCAATATCCTTAGAATAAAGACAAGAGCTTCCATCAGGGCTGCTGTTCTGATTTTTAACCACACCTTATATCCATCCCTGACATAAAAGGTAAATAAAACAAGATTTAATATGATTTTTATTCACACTTACAGTAAGTAAAAAAAATGAATCCCTGAAGGACAATATTGCAAGTTCCTAACATCACGAGGCCTAATGGAGTTCTGGTTTTTTCGTCCAAAGAGTTCGTTTAAGTGTGGGCAATTGCATTGCATCCGATCATTTGGATGCAATGGACCAAGGGTCTTCAAACTTGGCAAGTTTTAAGACTGGTGGACTTCAAACTCCCAGAATTCCTGAGCTAACATGACTGGAGAAGGAATTCTGGGAGTTGAAATCCACAAGTCTTAAAGCTGTCAAGTTTGAATGCCCCTGCACTGTAGAATCTGAGGTAGAGGTCTCCAACCTTGGCTACTTTAAGACTTGTGGACTTTTAATTCCCAGAATTCTCCAGCGAGCACAGATTACTCGCTTGTAATCCCTTCCTCTGCAATCTCTCCACTTTAGGAGATTAAGAGAGGGGGGGAAAAGCAGGCACAGCTGGCTGAGCAATTCTGGGAGTTGAAGTCCCACAAATCTCAAAAGGGGCCAAGGTTGGAGACCCCCCCCTGGTCTGAGGCGTTTCAGCAAGCATCCAAAGATGGGTGGGTAACCGTTACCCAGGCATAGGTTAAAAGAAAAGAGAAAAAAGAAAAGACTTAGTTGTCTTCATGAGTGATCTCTGTGGATTCCCAAATATCTTCATCCCCAGCTGGAGAGGAGAAGACACCCTCTTCGCTTTGACCTACTTCGTGCGGTGGCATTTTGTTCGGGTTCAAGTCGAGAGGGCGGGTTAATTGGCAAGGTTGGCCTGCCGCCGACTTCTGCGTGCGCTCGGGGCTCGGCTCGCTGTCCGACGGAGCGTCCGAAGGGCTTCCCAAACGGAATCCCAGGCCGTCGTTCTGCAGGATGTAGCGGATGCACTGAAGGACCACGTTCCTTTCGTGCCGTATGTCCTTGGCTAGAAGCTGCGGGGGAAGGAAGAAGAAAGCACAAGGTGAACATTAAAGTCTCCAAGAAGCTCTGTTGAAACAAGAGCGTAAAAACCATCTTGTCCCAAAAGTACTTTTTTTTTTTCAGGAGGCAACTGGACTTTGTTTTTTCTTTGCTTCCTGGAAAAAAAAAAAGCACCTTTGGGACAATCATGACCTGGAGGACTTAGACTCTCTGCAGACTTTTAGCTATACAATTTGGGATGAACCCCCTTGGAATGGGGGGGGAGTAGGGATGGATTCCCAGAGGAAAAAAATTACAGATTACAGGTACCCTTTGCACCACTTAGGTGACCCTGAGGACACAGAGAAACCTCCAAGTGGCCTCAATGACCCTCTAAAAGGATGCAAATGACCAATTATTGTCACGGGAGCCCCAAAAGGTTAGCCACTACTGATATAGAGCCATGCCTAGCCTTCTTCTAGTTTCAGTTTCCAAACAGTCCTCATTGGCTGACTTAGTTGCTATGCCGATTCAAAGGCTGCCCTTGTTACCGAGGCCCATTCCAGTTCATATATACTCTTGACAACGATGCCGGATAGATTTTTTTTTTCCCCGTGAATTTTAGCGGCTTGCTGTTCTTTGCCATTGATTGTTCCTGCTCTGCGTGTAATCAGCCTTGAGTTGAGGTCAGTGGATGGAAAGGCCCACGGTTTGTAAATCGAGGCATAGCCCGGAACCTTCTGAGGCCTTTCTAAACAGGCAGGATTGGAGGCAACCTGGTCACCTGCCTTCCAGCCATAAAAATAGGTAGAGGAATGTCAACAGGAGATTTCGAGTTTATCAGGTTTCCACCAAGCAGAGTTTTGAACTCTACAGCTCAACTCATGTATCATGCTCAAAAGCAGCTTGCTTGAATAAACACAACGGGCTCAGCCCCAAACCAAACAATCTGCATGAATAGGCTGGATGAACCCAACCTGTTTTTGCAGTGTATAGTTTGAGGAAAGGATTTGGGAGCGAAGACGCCGTAAAATCAACATTTCCGTAAAAGAGACCTTTTTATACGCCCTTTTTTACTTCGGATATATTGGAATAATGCTAAGGTAAATCCTGTGCTTTTCAGGAGGTCTATTCTAAGTCCTGAATTCCATCTGATCCATCAGAATAGAGCTGGAAGGGACCTTGGAGGTCTTTTAGTCCAGCCCCCTGGCTCAAGCAGGAGACCCTAGACCAGTGGTGGCTAGTTTTTTTGGGCTCCTGTGCCAAAAATTGTGCATGCGCTTGCAATGCGTGCCCCCCCCGCCCACTATGCATGCACGTACAATCCCCCACTCACCCACCCCTTACCTGCACTGCGCCTCATTAGCTGATTTGAGGCCGATTTGAAGCCTTTTTTGGCCTCCCAAAGGCTTGAGGAAGGCTTCTGCAGGCTGAAAATTAGGCCCGTTTCGTCACTTCCAGTATTTCCGGAAAAACAGGAAGTGACGAAATGGGCCTAGTTTTTGGCCTGCAGAAGCCTTTCTAAAGCCTCTGGGAGGCTGAAAAAGGCCTCAAACCAGCGGAAAATCAGCTGTGAGGCGCGCACATGCGCAATGAGGTAAGTTTGCCTAAAGCTCGCGTGCCAGCACAAATGGCTCTGTGTGCCACCTGTGGCACCCGTGCCATAGGTTCGCCATCACAGCCCTAGACCATTTCAGACAACTGACTGCACACAGTCTCTTCTTAAACACCTCCAGTGTTGGAGCACCCACAACTTCTGGAAGCAACTTCTGTTCCGCTGGTTAATTGTTCTCACTGTTAGGAAGTTTCTTCTTAATTCCAGGTGGTTTCTCTCCTGGATTCGTTTCCACCCATTGTTTCTTCTCTTGCCTTCTGGTATTTTGGAGAATAGTTTGACCCCACTCTTCCTTGGGGCAGCCCCTCAAATACTGGAATATTGTTATCATGTCACCCCTATTCCTTCTTTTCATTAAACTAGACCTACCCAATTCCTGCAACCATTCGTCGTATGTTTTAGCCTCCAGCCCCTTAGTTATTTTTGTGGCTCTTCTCTGCCCTCTTTCTAGAGTCTCAACATCTTTTTTTTACATCATGGTAATCATCTTACTTAGTCTTCTTTGCATTTTTTTCCCAAGGTCTCAACATCTTTTTCGTAATGCGGTGACCAAAGCTGGGTGCGGTGATTTTTTTAAAAGTTACTAAGAGGGATTGCCATTGCAGCAAGATGAGCAGCAAACAAATTTAATAATCAATAAATAATATTTCAGCCAATCTCCGGGCTAGCTGGATTCTTAAAAGTGCCTTGAAATGATGTAAATCATTACAATCAAACGACCCCAGCAATCGTCATAAATATGGGTTGGTTGTCAAGCATCTGAATTTTGACTGCGGGGAAGCGGCAACAAATAGAAATTTCCTGACAGTTACAACGATTAACCAGCGAAGCAACTTGCCTCCAGAAGTTATAAATGCTCCAACAGCGAAGGTTTTTAAGAAGAGATTGGATAACCATTTGTCTGAAATGGTGCAGGTCTTCCTGCCTAAGGATGGGGTTGGACTAGAAGACCTCCAAGGTCCCTTCCAACTCTGATATTCTTTTCTATTCTATTCTAGCCTACCTTACCCTACCCTACCCTACTCTTATTCTATTCTATTTTGCATTCTATCCTATCCTATTCCATATTTTCTATTCTACTCAACTCTACTCTACTCTACTCTACTCTACTTCTATTCCATATATTTTCTATTCTATTCTGTATATTCTATTCTGTATGTTTTATTCTGTTCTATTCTGTTCTATTCTATTCTACTCTACTCTATTCTTTATTCCATTCTTTATTCCATTCCTTATTCTATTCTACATTCCAACTTCTAGTCTATTCTATTCTATTCATTCTTATTCTATTTTATTCTATTCTGCATTCTATGCTATCCTATTCCATATTTTTTACTCTACTCTAATTCTATTCTATTCATATTCTATTCTGCATTCTATCCTACTCTACTCTACTCTACTCTACTCTACTCTACTCTACTCTACTCTACTCTATTCTACCATACTTTACTCTTACTCTATTCAACCATTGTAGGTGTGAAAAATTGTCACGTTTTCTTCAACGCTCTCGTAACTTCAAACGGTCACTAAAGGAACTCTTGTAAGTGCAGGACCACCTGTCAAATAATAATAATAATAATAATAATAATACTGAAACGAACCGGCCTCTTACCATTTCTAGCAAAGTAGGATGGTGGGCTGGCAACGCCCGCATTGTTTTCTTCTGCCTTTTCTGATTCCTCGTGTTCCTGGAATGTGCTTTTGATCTCCCTAACGTGGCCCCGTTCGGCGGGCAACCGGGAGTTTCTTGGCGGTTCTGGCACTCGCCGCTTTGAGAGCGATTTGAAGACCGAGGGGCGTTTCTGAGAACGGCAACATCGTTCCCAGTTACCGCGTTTTCTCTGGGAGCGGAGGACTCTAAAACAAAGGATTGAGCCATGAATGAAGGCATTAAGGACTCAAAAATAACACACGGCTATGAAAAGATATGAAATGATGGGTATTATAAGGGCAGGTTTCCCTTGCATCAAACAGGATCAAGTTATTGCTGTTACGGTTAACACGGGCGATCGCAAAACCGAAGCTCCTTTGACTCACGTTTTTAAGAAACAAGCAGGAGTCAAAAGCATCATCCATGCTCTCCACTTTATCAACTTTTAATACTGAACATGTGTTCTGTTACAGGTTTAAAATCACACACAGCTTGAAGGCAAACCTATCCGTCACGTAGAATTATTTCACGCTCTTTTCACACAGTACCGATTCACAAACCGATCGGAGCATAAAATCCAAGTTCTTTACTTCTGGTTTGTTGGCTTGTTTTTTTTTTTTTTTTGGAAATCACCGCAGGGTTGCACGGTTGGTCCTAAACTCATCTCTGTATCTGTCAAAAGACACTGAAGATGAGGTGGATCCAATTGTCATGACCAGCTCTCTGGAGAACTTTTCCCAGGTGGAAGGTTGAATGAGGTGGCTGGCTCCGTTTTCTTTTGGGGAATATTTTGGAACCAATTCATGCTTATATCTGAGGCAGATTAACAGTGTCGGATCTTCCAAGCTCCCCACTCAGACACAGATAACAGATAATCAGAGTTGGAAGGGACCTGGTAGGTCATCTAGAGGAGTTGGTAAGTGCCATAAATTGGTCTAATCTTCGTCTAAAACCAGCTAAACAAATTGCTGCCCATTTGGGGCACAGTGAATTCTCCAAGTCTGTCACTCATGCACAGTATGAAAAATGTTCCTTTTTGACTTCCCCAAAAAGCGCTAAGCAGGCTCTTGGTCCTTTTATGAAACGAAGGTGAATTTCTTGCATTCACCTTCAGCCAAATGCCTGGCAAACAGCCTTTCAAGGCTGTCATTAGGAGCACAGACCTTATCTAGCTTGGAGAGCTGCCAAGTAAATATTTCCAAACGCAGTGCTGACAAGGAAGGACTTGGCACAGAGTTACTGAGATGCACAGACAGATCTTCACATTGCTGCAACATACCAATTGTTTCCTGAAAAAGCCCCCTCCCCTTTTGCTCCTCTTTTCATCCCTATGGGAGGGGCCACTCATCATCCACCTGTGGCCTTACTCCTACGTCGACCCTTGGTTTGTAATTGTTCCCTTCTCCTGGCAGCTCTGTGCATGCGCACACTGGGAACAGGCTCCAGCTGTTCTTCTGCCCCACTGATCTCCGACTCCAAAGGCAGCTGATAACTGCCAGCCTGCCCTGGCCTCATCTCTGCCCCCGATGCAGAACCCTCGTTCAAGCCTTCCTCAGCCTCCAGGACTGGCCCAGGTTCCTCCCCAACCTCCTCAATGTCTGACTCTCCTGCCAGTTCCGCTAGCTGCTGGCGGGGCACAACAAAAAATTAGTTTGGCCTGGATATGTCATCTTAATAGTCACTATAATGGTGTATAGCCTACTTCATGGGTCCATAATGAGACATTAAGGTGAGAAGTCCGTCCCATCAAAAAAAAATTTTTTTTAAGGGAAACTAAAGTACCCTAGTTTTTATAGTTTAGATATTTTGTAATTTATACATTTGTTACAGATTGCTAACAGTTTCTTTTGGTTTCTTTTAGACTGCATAAGGTGGATATTTATTACTTGCATACAAAAAAAGAGAAACAATGTTAATACGAACAATCCCTAGGTAAGGCTGCAGAAAAAAAATAACTATTTGCTATTGACAGAAGGGAATATATGCAGCTCAAGGTTGAAGTGTGGGGACCTTGATGCTCTCTGAGGTGGGTGGTTTTCTTGCACTGATGATGTTACCTAGCTGGGTCCTGAAACGTCTGCGAGAAAACCACCAAGCTCAGAGAGCACCGAGGACCTTGCAAAGAAACACTTGGAAAATCTTAGGATAACCTACACACTTCAAAATGGGTGCAACATTAGATTATTTCAGAAAACCATAGGGAGGGAGGGAAGGAGAAAGGAAGGGAGGAAAAAAGGGAGAGAAAGAAAGAAGGGATGGCAGGAAGGAAGCAATAGCCGTTAGACTTATATCCTGCTTCACGGTGCTTTTACAGCCCCTCTCTAAGCAACTGACAGAGTCAGCCTGTTGCCCCCAACAATCTGGGTCCTCGTTTTACCCACTTCAGAAAGATGGAAAGGCTGAGTCAACCCTGAGCCTGGTGAGATTCGAACTCCTGGCAGTGGGCCAAGTCAGCCTGCAATACTAGGGAAGAAAGGAGGGAGGGAGGCAGGCAGGCAGGGAAGGAGGGAGGGGAGAAGGAAAGAAGGAAGGAGAGAGGGAGAGACAGAA